TTTTTCTAATTAAAGATGTGTATTTGATTTGAAATTTAAAAGATTTTTTTTAAGTTTTAAATAATTCATAAATTATTTATACTCAATGTATTTTTTAAATTTTACATTTAGTTGTACAGAAATGATTGTTTCAAAAATATACTTTAAATTTGGATTATCAAAATACCAAAATATCTCCCAATTAATCCTCATTTGAGGATTGATTTGAGAAAACACCTTATTACAAAGGACCATTTTGAGAATTTACTCATAAATAATTTATGAATTATTTAAAACTTAAAAAATCTTTTAAATTTCAAATCAAATACACATCTTTAATTAGAAAAATCATTTTGGGAAAGCACTTCATTATAAATGATTATTTTAAAATATAATTTTAAATTTAGCAGAGAAAAAATAACCTTAATTAATCCTCATTTGAGGAACATTATTTATGAAGGACCATCTTGGGGATAAATCTCAATTATAGAGGACCACCTAGGTAATTAAAACTTATTGAAGACTGATTTGGGAAAATATCTTATTACAAAGGACTATTTTGGGAATAAATCTCAATTATAGAGGACCATATAGGTAATTAAAACTTATTGAGGACTAATTTGGGAAAATCCCTTATTACAAAGGACTATTTTGGGAATTTACTCTTGTTTTAAAATTCACATTGATTTGGATTTGAAATAAAAAAACCAAAATAAAAAAAATAACATATATTTTCTCTATCTAAAGTTAAACATTTTTGTTTTTATTTTCCAAAGTAAACAAATTATTTTTTGTACGTTCAAAAAATAAAATGAACAAATAGAATAAAGAAACGAAAGAAAAATAGAAAAAGGAAACGAAAAAAAGAAAAAGATACAAATATTCTCTTATTGAAAAAGAGAAATGTATCCATAAAGTGCACTGATAATTTTTTTTTGGAGCGTCCAAAAATTTAAAATTATGGATAAAATTCTTTAAGAATGATAAAAATAAATACTTTTTTGGACCGATGCCTTAGAATTTCAAAATATTGTAAAAAATGTGCTCATATTATTTTTAAAATTAAAAATAATACTTTTTCTGAGAGATCTAAAAAAATATAGACTTTTGGAGACATCTATAAATCATCACCCCATTCCATGAATACGCTTTTATCTTTTCTATTAGAGCATTTTTGTATTTTTTATTTCATTTCCTTTTGCAAAATTATTTATTTTATTTTACTACGTATTTTTCTTTTCCTCATTTTCTTGAACGTTGCAAAACGTAGTTTTTCGTTTTATATTAGAAAATAAAAAATAAAATATTTAATTTGAGACAAATAGATTATATGTTATTTTTATTTTCTTTATTTCAAACATTTACAATTTTGAATTATTAAAATATAATAAGACATCATTTTAAAAACGAAATTAAAAAAACATTTTAAAAGGGAACAAAGAGAACAAAAAGGAAAAAATAAAAAGAAAAAAAATGAATGAAAAATAAAGCACACTCTGGTGCTCATATGGTTTGAAAAATGAGCATCAATCCTCCCAAAGTCTGACTTCCGTTGCACTCCTGTGAAATGCAAACTCCTGAATTTCAATTCATGAAACGCTTGGAAATCATATAAGTTTACTAATAAATTTTGAAAAGAGATCAAGAGCGGATATTTTTGCGGAAGCTTATTTTTCAAATTAAAGGGCCACTAGAGCTATTTTTTCATATTTTAAGATATAATACTAACATTAGACCAAATATTTGTATATACTTTATCCTTCGTGGAGGAGGTTCAGGTGACATTTGTCCATCATGTCATCCTATGACATGGGCCTCTATTAGAGCACCTACAAAATTGCACCCACAAAATTTAGTTGACTTTGGAGTCAAAAGTTGACACTAAAGTCAACTAAATTTTGTGGCGTGCAATTGGAGGGGGTGGGAGGGTCAATTCGGACTGGACCGGAGTATGGGAGTTTTTTGGGGAGAGAAGTTGGGGGTACAGATCATCAATTTTTCAAACAAAACACCGCAAGTGCTCCGGGTCATCCTATGACATTGAAGTTCAATGTCACTTGAACCTGGGTGATCCTTTATATATAAAAAGTAGATTCTTAACTCTAAGAGTGCAACATGTGGCATATTTTTGACACTTAAACTTATACCCAGTTAATGGCTCGGATAAATAAAATAACCTTTGTTTCTAAAAAGAAATATTATCAAAAAAGAAATATAATCTAAAAAACTTGCAAAAAAATGTTTTCTAATTTAATATTTCTCACTGCACTATATTATAATTTTCAATTAATAAATAAGGTACTCTCTTCACCTTTAAATAAATTCAATATTTTATGATAAACAAAAAGAAAGTTAGTTTTTAAACTATTTACTTAAATATTGATATAAAATAAAAGAGTAAATTTTCATAATAATTATTTGTAATAAGGTGTTTTTTCAAATCAGTCCTCAATAAATTTTAATTACCCACGTGGTCCTCTATAATTGAGATTTATTCCCAAGATGGTCCTTCGTAAATAATGTTATTCAAATGAAGAATAATTGAGGGTATTTTGGTATTTTTTATCCGCTAAATTTTATATTATTTCTTAAAATGGCCATTTATAATGAAGTGCTTTCCTAAAATGGTTTTTTTCTAATTAAAGATGTGTATTTGATTTGAAATTTGAAAGATTTTTTATAAGTTTTAAATAGTTCATGAACTATTTATAGTCAATGTATTTTTTAAATTTTACATTTAGTTGTATAGAAATGACCGTTTAGAAAAAATACTTTAAATTTGGATGGTCAAAATACCAAAGTATCTCCCAATTAATCATCATTTGAGTAACATTATTTACGAAGAACTATCTTGGAAATAAATCTCAATTATAGAGGACCATGTAGGTAATTAAAACTTATTGAGGACTGAATTTGGAAAACACATTATTACAAAGGACTATTTTGAGAATTTACTCAAAATAAAAAGTATTCCCTACGTCAAAATTCTATTAAACAAGAGACAGCTGCACTATTTTTAGAATGATCAAATATATAAATAAAATAAATTGGTAAAAATGACTTGGTGAATAGTTTAGTAAACTTGTATTCAGATGAAACATTTTCTACTAATCAGAATACTTTTGCAGACTTGAATGATTTTGAATTTAAGCAAAAGGCAAAAAACTGC